CCTCTTGTCTGTCGGCTTTCTCCCTCTGTGTGTGTGTGTGTGTGTGTGTGTGTGTGGGCAGGTGGGCAAGTGTAAACATTGTGTCTTTTAACCTGCTCGAAAGGGTTGAATCTGCTTATGCCAAGTGAAAAGTCGAATATTCCAATGTTTAACAAAAGGGGCAAATGGGCACTTTAAAAGAAGCCCCGGCCGGTATGTCGGAGATTGAGGGTCCGCCGGGTGTGATGACTTTCCGAAATGTGGTTGATGCACGATAGAACGGACAAGTCGAGGCCGTAAAAGGCGAGCAAGAGAGAAGTGGAGCGAGGAAAGTCTCGAGGTGAGACAAGCAGGGGTGGGGCAGGCGGGTGTGTACACGAGGCCCGGGTGTGTCGGTTGTGGCTAGGATCCTCGCGTCGGTTGCTCCACCAGTTGCCATAGCCAGATTAGGCTGCAACACCGGCAGCCGGCGCTGGGGCGTTCAACATTGAAGCAAAAACACACCGAAAGATTGTACTTCATCGGGTCGTCTGCTGTACCTGCCCGTCGGCCCATCCAAGTTGCAGTCCATGTCTCCGTCTGTTGGTTTGTCCGCATCATTGTCCGTCTGTATGTCTGTCCATGTGTTCATTCATCCGTTGGTCTGTCCATCTGTCCGGTTGTGCCTCGATGTCTGTAGTCGTGTTGGGCTCGAGTCCTGCCGGTCGAGCCGAGCCTCGGCAGCCGAGGGTTGTCAAGGCGCGAAGAACCGTTTTCCGCATCGCGGACTCTCTTGACGGCCAATTCGAGGACACCTCCGGCAGCTACATGCAACCCTCACAACTGTCGACCCTTCAAAGAGATCTTTCACTTTTCGCTCCGGTTGCTGCTGCTGTTGGTACCATCGCGGAGGGCACTTGAGTGGAGGGGAATGTGTGTTTGTGCGTAAAAAACGATAAAACAGAGCAGCAAGTGAATCGCCAAGGCGGAGACAATGTCTCTAATCCGACGGAATTAGTTGAGTCAATCAGGTTGAAGCAAGACCTTCGGAGACCACACCAAGCACGCGCTAGCGGCACATGTCGAGGCATGACAACTACGCGTTCGGGGAAGTGTGAATAAGTAAAGGGGATAACTGAATAAGTGCCTGAGGCCGATGTTGCGGGGAGGCAGATGGGCTTGATTCGCGCGAAAAATGCTCAATTTGGCGAGAGACCACTAAACTTTTGGGGCATTCCTCAACGCAATTTCGGCATTTCATTAAAACAAAATGGTACAGATCCTCATGTCGTGTAATGGGAAGTTTTGCCGTAGTGATGTGGTGTGATGCGTCCGGTGTGATGCTGCGTGACGACATTAAATTATATTTTAATTTATGCTTTTGATGGTTTGTGAATTGATTC